TCATAAGCTTAGCCCTCTACTAAGTAAAGAATTCAACAAATAGAAGAAAATAGCACTGTTTTATAACAGTAGAGACAAGGGCTGTAGGCTGTAAACAACGATCAAATCTCAAAATGTCTGTAATGTATATGACTGAAATTGATATTATGTCTCAGTTTTTAGAGTTCATCTAATTCTCAGAATGTCCTGTGACATAAGACTGGAAAAAATGATGCTGAAATTCATATGGAGACACAAGAGACCTCGAATAGCTAAAGCAATCTTGTACAACAAAAACAAAGCTGGAGGCATCACAATACCAGATTTCAGGACATACTACAGGGCACTTGTAATCAAAACAGCATGATACTGGTACAGAAACAGATGGATAGACCAATGGAACAGAATTGAAACACCAGAAATCAATCCAAACATCTACAGCCAACTCATATTTGATCAAGGATCCAAAACCAATCCCTGGATTAAGGACAGTCTATTCAATAAATGGTGCTGGGAAAATTGGATTTCCATGTGCAGAATCATGAAGCAAGACCCCTACCTTACACCTTACACAAAAATTCACTCAACATGGATTAAAGACTTAAATCTACGACACAAAGCCCATGAGAGTATTCCAGGCATGGAAAGCCAAGACACTCTGGGGGGGGGGGGGACCTAAATGAAAGATCTCTGCGAGTGAGATCCCAGTGGAACGAATGGGTCATCAAAGAAGGAGGTACCTTACTCTGAAGGGAGGAGAGAACTTCCACTTTGACCATGGCCTTGTCTAAATATGATCAGAGTCAGTGAACTCAGGGGGCTTCCATAGCCTTGGCAGTTCATGACAAGAGCCTAGGGTGATTACTGATGCCATAAACAAGAGTGTCAATTTGTTAAGTCAACAACAGGAGTCACTGTGCATTTACTCCTCATGTAGGATCTTTGTCCTTAGTGTGCTGTACATTGAGATTTAATGCTATAACTAGTACTCAAACGGTATTTTTCACTTTATGTTTCTGTGTGGGAGCAAACTGTTGAAATCTTTACTTAATGTATGCTAAACTGATCTTCTGTATATAAAGAGAATCGAAAATGAATCTTGATGTGAATGGAAGGGGAGAGGGAGTGGAAAAGGGGAGGGTTGCGGGTGGGAGGGACGTTATGGGGGGGAAGCCATTGTAATCCATAAGCTGTACTTTGGAAATTTATATTCATTAAATAAAAGTTAAAAAAAATTTTAAAAAACCTCATTCCTAAGTGATGTTATGCCTTCAACAGGCCCTCATTCTATTATACTCACTAACTGCATTTTTTCCTCTTCTGCATTCTTCACAGTAATCTTTAGACCTAGATAGGATACTCTCACATTTTAAAGTAAACTCACTTGCCTCTGTCTCTCCTTGCTCTATCTTGCTCCTTTTCTTCAAACCGTCCATTTTCTTCTGCCTAATGACTATAACTAAAGATTCAGCTTAAATGTCTCTTCATCTAGGAATCCTGTCGTGATTCCTGCCTTGTGGCCCAAGTGCTGTTTTTAATGTGGTGCTTTAGAAACTGCTCTTTTCCATCAAAATTCGTATCACAATGAAATTACTTCATTGCTTGTCTCTGTCTCAGGCCAGGGAATCTGTATTTACTTATTTATCATACATCTTCAATTCTGTGCACAGTGCTTGGGATATGGTAGACATTCAATAACCATTCATTAACCACATAAAGAGGAACAGATTAAGGTTAAGAAAAATAAAAAAGAGAAGTTGAGCATGTTGGCAATATTTTAAAATTATTGTCTTCACTACTTGATGACTTACATATTATTCTGAAGGTCTGTTAGAATTTGCAAGATTTATTTTAAGAGGGAGCAAAGCAGAGACCTGATTATGCAGAGGCCTATTGTTAATCTTGTATCAAGTATAATTTACAAGCAATTAAATGGTCAGTGCAATTTTTAACTTGCTGAATTGCTTCCTCATTTTCTGCCTGGAGTCAGACTTAATTTTTCCCAGGAGTATTAGGTGAAAGGCCAGAAATTTGTGCAAAGCCTTTCTCCCTTCTTTTTATTCCCAAATGATCCTTAATAATATCCTTAAGATTTTCCACGTATGTTCTGTACCTCATATAGAGTATATTGATGGTGTTATAATTCTTAAACTATTGAAAGAGAGAATAAGCTTCCTAGATAAAGATGCCCAACTCTCCCACCTTTTTGTTCTGTCGTGGAAATATGACGGTGTCCCAGGTGGGAGCCTCCTGGAGAACACTGGGTATTGCTTTGACTCGTAAGATGTAATGAAAGTTGTGCTCTGAGTTAAATTATATTGCCTGACTTCTAGGGCTCAGAGGATACTTGTGGCCAATAAAATGTGTTAACGTTCTTTCAGTCGTGGTCTTTGCTTCCTTTCTGAAATTATGCCAGCCACAAAGACCTGGTGACTACCATAAAAAACGTGACAGGGTTGATATTTGTAGGTAGCCACAAACAAAGGGCTGTTTCTATTTTTATGTCTGGGGATGGACTTACTAAGAACTTTCCATCATGTAAATCTTCAGCAACCTCAGAGTTAAGCAAAGTCTCTCTTCCGGGAAATAGCATAGAAACAGACGTTAGAGCAAAAGGAAAGAAGTGCTAGGTGGCTCTGTTAGTACCTATGAAATGCTTTCTTATTCAGGAGAGTAATTTGCAATTCAGTGATGCACATTCCAGTGTCATCACAATCTCCGCTCCTGCCAGATATTCTGATAATTCCACCCTCCAGGGCTGCATGTCCTTTCTCCCCTTCTCCTGGAGAATGACAGAAGGAAATAGAGATTCAGTTCCCTTCATTGTGCACTGTATGTGAAAGTCCCAGAGCAAAACACACAAACAGACTATGAAAAAGCTGAACTGATGACCATTTTCTTAGTGCACATCCTTATTTCACGGTTCTTTGGCCTGACAAAATCAGAGAAATATTCATATCCTCTATTCCATTTATTACAGTATATGAAATAATGCAATATTTTTAATAACTCTCTAACACTTTGTCTAAACTTAATACTTCACCAATTAATGTACATTTAGCTAAATTTCCTAATTTTCCAATCTACAGACTTGTATGCAAATATATGCCTTGTAGGTAACATTGGTTTCTTATGTGTGCAGAGGTACATTTTCTTTAGATTTTATTGGATTGTCTAAGGAGTTCAAGATCTGGAAAACAATGAGATAGTTTATATACATATACACACCCATACACATACATATATGTTGATACTGCTTTAAAGATAGGCTATCAATTGTATCTTATTTAGAGTACTTGTAGTACCTATCAACTATATGTTGTACATATATTTATGTATATACATATCATCTACATATATACATGCTTATAATATCTACACAGCATGCATATATAATCTCTACCAGTATATAAAGTTGTTGACATTTAGGAATGATGAAGGATTTTATTTCAAAATGATCCTAAGTATATTCAACATTTGTCTTGTCTTGAAGGGAAACATAGACCAGAATAAGTTTATACAGGAGTCACTAGGGAACTAAATTTCTTGGAGAATGAAAAAGATAAAAAAGAAATGTCTTACAGTAAAGTCAAAGCAAATGAAAGGCTAAAATGAAGACCCTTTGTGTAATTTCAATTTTCTTATTTTCATTTTCTTTCCTGGTTTTCTTTTACTAAAATGTCTGTCAGTGAATGTCCATGCCAATACTAGCAGTGAATTAATTATATGTATAATTAATATCATTAATGTCTTCCCATAACTCCATGTCCATGGAGATGTGTGTGTTAAAACTTGAGATTAATTTAGGACTAAAAAAACCCTCAAATTTAATGCAATTTCTAGACTTAAGGCCTCCTTCCCACAGATGCCCAGAGACAACCTTGTGACTATGTTCTCTTTTAGAACAGGACAGAGAAAAATACAGCCTCTTTTTAAAATGAAAACTTGACTGATGAGAATGAAAAACATGATTTTCTTGGCCCAGAGTGACCATGGCGTCAACTCTTTCACAGATCCCGCAGAGTCCTTTTTGGCTAAGCTTTGGATTTATGATCTCTGTGGCCAGACAAGAGAGGAGAAGTACTGAGTACTCCCCAGTTTTACCTGATATTTAGTTGAGAAGAGATTGTGTTGAACAATCCAGAGAATATGTAGTTTAAAAGGGTCTCCAGGCACAGTTTGTTCACAGTCAGTGGTGCATGTTCGATAGCAAGTGTTTAATTTCTAACTTAATAAAATTTACCAAATGCGGATCTTAAAATAGAGAGGTATTTAAGAAATGTCTCTTTGGGGAGTGATCGCTATCAACTGCACATAAAGCACAACTGGATATTGCAGAAGGACTTACTGTAAAAAAGCACCTGTTCCTGGACCTGTGAATCCTTTCACGTAGCAAAGCCTCCCACTCTGAGCACCACGTGGAAGTGAGGGGCAGAACATGGCGCTGGAAGCCTCAGGTCGAGAGGGGCCAGGCCATTGGTAACACCCCTGAAAGCTACTTTAAGGTACCACAGTCCATCATCTGTTTGCTAATATTGTTCATCACTCTGCTAGGCCATGTTGAGTTTATTTATTCTAATGTAGATAATGAACATGAAGTCTTTAGGGTAGTTAAGGACATTTTTTAATTAATATGAGAACCTTAGAAAGGGGAATGATAATAATGGAGGGAACAGTGTTCTTTGAGTCACTGGACCAAATAAATCGGACATGACATAATAGCTTCTTGTTTTTACCAGAGACTCACTCTGGCTCCTTAGAGAGAAATTCAGTCATTTCTGTTTCAGTCAACTCACTATCAGCTATTTAAATTATCTTATGAATAGCTCCAGTGAATAACCTGGGGCCTGGAATTTTTATGAATAGCTTAGGGGGCTTGTCTATGTAACAGAAGAATTTAGAGTATTTTGGCTAAGCATATTTTCCTTGCCAAATCTTGTCTTTAAAATTAACTGTAATGAACTGATGTGCCTAATTGGTATCTTTTGAGAGCTGCTTTCATTTTCATCTTTGTATTTCAGTGGAATAATACCAACGAAAACACATTGGGAGTGAAGCACACCAGCAATTTCCACTGAAATTAATCACCCCTTTCCAAGTAGAGGATGCTGTTTTAAAATTGAAATTCAATCTTCTAGTCTGTGAATTAGTTCCTTATTTAAATAATAGTAAAGATGATAACTAGTTCTTATGTAGCACTGATTGTTAAAAACTGAAGTTCTAAGTGTCTTACATTTGCTAATTCATGTAATCTTCACAACTCTAAATATAGGTAGCTGTTTTTAATATACGGCTTTACAGATAAGGGAATTGAGATCCAGAGATTTAGAAAAATACTCAAGACCACACAGCTGTTAGGTAGTGGAGTTGAGATTTGAACCAGTGCCTCAGAGTCTACTCTTCACCACTGTGCTATACTGCCCAGTGAATACTTGCAACACCAGTTAGGATTATTTAGGTTTTCTGATTAACTACTTAGTAATTTAGAACATGATCTAAAAAATATTCATGCCATTACTAAACAGAGCAACTAGCACTGAACCTGGTGATATCTGACCCTATTGGTCAAGTCCAAGGAAAGGAGTCTAGTGGCCATGCCTTTGCTTTGTGGCAGCTGCGAGGAGCAGAGGTGTGTTCTGTCACAGTAAGCAGCTGGGGTCCTGATTCAGGAAGACAGAAGCAGCCTGAAAAGCTGCATGAGCAGGCCCCGCAGCAGGTATTAAATTGTAACTGTTGTGGTGTCCTGGGGAGATGTGGAACTCTAGGCTTTACCTTCTCTCTGGCCATCACCAGGTTACCTCATGCTACCCGCAGGAAGGTGGGCCTGCAGGTCTCTCCCCTTGATGCCCCTCTCAGTGTCAGTGGCTTTTCCTTGTGCTGCTGCTTACACATTTGTATTCATCAAGAGGGTGTTTGTTTGGGGTGGGCCGTCGTACTCCGTGTAGGGGCATTTCTTGTGCACAGACTCCCGTTACAGTCTCCTACAGAACACTACTTTGTGGTCCAGCATCCATCCTTGCTCTACACATCATGACCACGGTTGACAACTATTCCTAAGAAATTCCTGGGACCAGTTCCCTCAGAAGAGAGAAAAGATCAGTTAGACATTCAACATGTTATGTCCAAATCATATTTTTACTGCATTTCCTCCTAAATTATGTAAATATCAGCCAACCCAACAGCTTTTCTCAGTTAAGCTTGATATCAATTATACTTCATAAGATTCTTGTTTAAAATTAAAGTTATGCTTTATGTATAAACACTAAGGTAAAATTATTAGCCAAGTATTGAATCTGAAGAAACATTATATGTATGATTTAAATAGGCATGGCCAACTTCTTAATATTCACACTTCTTTTCTTATGGAGATTTAAAAATTGAGTACAGATGTGTCTTTCAGTGAAGTATTTGAAATTTAATATTGAAGTCTTTCACATAAGCCTTGGGTTATTCAATCTTGATCCTATTGATTCTTTTTATTTGCTACTAGAAAAATGGAATTACTGTGTAATTTCTAGGTCATTACATGCCTTGTAGAATTTAAAGGTTGTTGTCGCAAGTAAGATGATATTTTAGACTGGAAGAAGTCAGGGTCTTTGAATGGGTTTGCGTCCTCCTGTGTGTGATTGCCTTGAATCAATGACGACACCCTGGCAGAGCAGAGCATTCACCCACACTCCTCTCGGTAAGTATCTCTTGTGATGACTTAGTGTGTCAGACTTCTGAGCCGATCCTCGTGTAGTGAGGAAAATGATCTGTTAGGAAAACAGAATAAAGCTAGGATAGGGATAAAAATGCTTGTGGTTAGCGGAGTTTTCTCAGAAAACTGAAACACTCATGTCAAAATTTTAAAAATTTGCTTGCTTTTGCTAATGTTTGATTTGGCTTGAAAAAGAGTTTTCTTTGCTGAATTATTTCGTAACTCTTTACTTGATAGTGAGATTCCATGCTCAATATATCACTTCATTTTGGTTACAAATATTTTTATATTTGGGGCCAGTACTGTGGCATAGTAGGCTAAGCCTCTACCTGCAGCACTGGTATCCCATATGGGTGCCAGTTCTTGTCCTGTCTGCTCCTCTTCCAGTCCAGCTCTCTGTTTATGGCCTGTGTAAGCAGTGAAGAATGGCCTAAGTTCTTGGGCACCCACATGGGAGGCCCAGAAGAAGCTCCTGGCTCCTGGCTTCAGGTTGGCCTAGCTCCAGCCATTTGGGGAGTGAACCAACAGATGGAAGACCTTTTTCTCTGTCTCTCCCTCTCTTTGTCTGTAGCTCTACCTCTCGAATAAAGGAATAAAATCTTTAATTTTTTTTACATTCGTTATTTTTAAAAATGTCCATATGTCACTTTTTTGTGAATGCAAAACTCCATTGTGTATTTTTTTTCACCTGCTGATCTGGAAATACGTTGAGAATTGTCTATTATACTAAATTCTGGCAGAAGTTTGGGTTCAAGTAGCATAGAGACAGCTCTGTGCTGCTCATTAGTGGAATGTTTCTAAGCCCTTGGTGGCAGGTAAAGGGAAGGCTCATAAATTATTTGCAAGAAATAGAATATAGTAGATTACGAATTGGGAGTTTGCTGCTAACCTGCACCACAATTTGGGATGAGTCACTTAATCCCTTAACCCTTAATGTCTTCACTGGCAGAAGGGGTAGACTAGTGTTTGTCCTCAGAAGTGCTTATGAGTTTAAAATATTAATACCACTTATTTGGTACATGATTCACTTTTTAGGACATTGGAAAGTGATATTTTTTTCTTAGTTGACTACGATTATTTCAGAAATAGAAAATCTGTTGCTAGATAATTCATTGTTGGAGGAGAAATAATCCAGTGATACAGATAACATATAAACACTCCATGCTGAATATTCCATGATATCCTGGAGAATCAGACTGCCACAGACAGAAGGCACTCCCATAACTCAGTGTGTGTAGGCGTTGACTGTAGGTGTCCTGGAGTTTTCATGCACTTCCTTGAGAGGCCCCGGGGATGCAGTGGGGGAGTGGGATTTGATGTTTCCCACTCACATTTTCTTGAATAAAAGTCATTTATTTTTTAAAAAATTTCTGTGCCTCCAAAAGATTTATATGTAATATTTTACAAAAAATCATATTCAACATCCCTGTGTACAGAAAAAATAGCTCTTTTCCAAATCTCTGCCAAAATCATGCCAGTTTGTGATTCTAATTGCCAAAGGGACTGTAGTGTTTAAAAAAAAATAAAAGAAAAACCTGCTTAAGATCTTAGAGCAGTGTTTTCAACTTTGGCTGACATTGGAATCACCTTGAGAGATTTGAAAAAAATCTTGATGCCCAGGTGGCTTTCAGACCAATTATATACAGTCTCTACAGGTGATTCCAATGTGCAGCCAAAGTTGGAACCACTGGCTTAGTGGGAGGGAGAGGTGACTTTGACATAAGTTGGTAGGGAAATGTTTACAGAGGAGGTGGGCTCTGAGCAGAGTTTGACAGATGGGCTGAATTTGGATGGAAGAAAAAAAATGAAGGATTTAAGGCAATAGAATAATACAGAGATTATAGAGATATTATCAAGGGTGGGGGAGAGAAAGTGAATAAATCAGAAGTGCAGCATGACATTAAGAATCAGAAATAACTTCAAATTTTTAAATTCTGAACCTGTCATCTGCTACCATATGTGAAAATATGGGTAGGTTATTTGATCTCTAAATCTCTAATTCTTCATCTGAAAAGTGGGAAACAGAAGTGCCCTTGGGTGGACTTTAACCAGGGGTAGACGAGAAAATTCCTTCAAAGCGTCTCTCTCACTGCCACATCGTAGAGGGGACCCAGGATTTGGATACTTTAACCAGCTGATTATCATGAAAGTTAAAGTCAATTGTTAGATGGAATCAAGGAGTTAATTTAGGGCCAGATTGTGGGGGTCTTGAAAGCCAAGATAAACAGGTTGATTTCTTTCTTTCCTGCTGTCACTGGAACCTGTTCTGGGGCACAAGATCAAAGCAACCAGTATTGAATGTTGGATCTGTGAAGTGGCCACACATAGAAATAGCAGAGGACAGCAGAAAGCAGGGGCTGGGAAACGACTCAGGGTACAGACGGTGCAGGTTCAGTAGCCCGGAAGTCAGGGTCCTGGATTAGAGTAGGTGGAAACGATGATGAAAGCTCATAAAACAGACTGGGAACGTTATGGTAGAGAAGAGAAACTGATTTGATTTCTATGGCAGGAAGGGAATCTAAAAGAAAACAAGCCAGAGTGGCTTTGAGACTGAAATTGTGACAGAGGAACAAGTACATAGTTTGGGAGAAAAGGTGAGGCTTCACTGTGGACCTCTGGAGTCTGTGGTCTGGGCAGAACTGGTGAGACAGTTGGTAGCAGATTGCTGGAAGTGCAGTTGAGGGAGGGGGAATGATGAGAGAATGATGGTTACGTGAGTAGAAGTCGTGGCTGATGGTGTGCAGTCCTCCAGGTCTGGGAAGTCAGAGCAGCATAACATTGTTCAGATCCCCCAGGTGACTCAAACTTGGGCTTTACAGCCCTCTTTTTTTTTTTACAGTCTTTTTTTTTAAAACTTTTATTTAATGAATATAAATTTCCAAAGTACAGCTTATGGATTACAATGGCTTCCCCCCCCCATAACGTCCCTCCCACCTGCAATCCTCCCCTTTCCCACTCCCTCTCCCCTTCCATTCATGTCAAGATTCATTTTCGTTTCTCTTTATATACAGAAGATCAGTTTAGCATACATTAAGTAAAGATTTCATCAGCTTGCTCCCACACAGAAACATAAAGTGAAAAATATTGTTTGAGTACGAGTTATAGCATTAAATCTCAATGTACAGCACGCTAAGGACAAAGATCCTACATGAGGAGTAAGTGCTCAGTGACTCCTGTTGTTGACTTAACAAATTGACACTTTTGTTTGTGGCATCAGTAATCACCCTAGGCTCTTGTCATGAGCTGCCAAGGCTATGGAAGCGTAACAACAGACACCACAGAAATAAAAAGAATCATCAGAAATTACTACAAAGACTTGTATGCCAGCAAACAGGCAAATCTATCAGAAATGGATAGATTCCTGGACACATGCAACCTACCTAAATTGAACCAGGAAGACATCGAAAACCTAAACAGACCCATAACTGAGACAGAAATTGAAACAGTAATAAAGGCCCTCCCAACAAAGAAAAGCCCAGGACCAGATGGATTCACTGTTGAATTCTACCAGACATTTAAAGAAGAACTGACTCCAATTCTTCTTAAACTATTCAGAACAATCGAAAAAGAGGGCATCCTCCCAAATTCTTTCTGTGAAGCCAGCATCACCTTAATTCCTAAGCCGGAAATGGATGCAGCATTGAGAGAAAATTACAGACCAATATCCCTGATGAACATAGATGCAAAAATCCTCAATAAAATTCTGGCCAATAGAATGCAACAACACATCAGAAAGATCATCCACCCAGACCAAGTGGGATTTATCCCTGGTATGCAGGGTGGTTTAATGTGTGCAAAACAATCAATGTGATACACCACATTAACAGACTGCAGAAGAAAAACCATATGATTATCTTAATAGATGCAGAGAAAGCATTTGATAAAATACAACACCCTTTCAGGATGAAAACTCTAAGCAAACTGGGTTTGGAAGGAACATTCCTCAATACAATCAAAGCAATCTATGAAAAACCCACAGCCAACATCCTATTGAATGGGGAAAAGTTGGAAGCATTTCCACTGAGATCTGGTACCAGACAGGGATGCCCACTCTCACCACTGCTATTCAATATAGTTCTGGAAGTTTTAGCCAGAGGTATTAGGCAAGAAAAAGAAATTAAAGGGATACAAATTGGGAAGGAAGAACTCAAACTATCCCTCTTTGCAGATGATATGATTCTTTACTTAGGGGACCCAAAGAACTCTACTAAGAGACTATTGGAACTCATAGAAGATTTTGGCAAAGTAGCAGGGTATAAAATCAATGCACAAAAATCAACAGCCTTTGTATACACAGACAATGCCATGGCTGAGGAAGAACTGCTAAGGTCAATCCCATTCACAATAGCTACAAAAACAAATACCTTGGAATAAACTTAACCAAGGACGTTAAAGATCTCTACGATGAAAATTACAAAACCTTAAAGAAAGAAATAGAAGAGGATACCAAGAAATGGAAAAATCTTCCATGCTCATGGATTGGAAGAATCAATATCATCAAAATTCCATTCTCCCAAAAGCAATTTATAGATTCAATGCAATCCCAATCAAGATACCAAAGACCTTCTTCTCAGATCTGGAAAAAATGATGCTGAAATTTATATGGAGACACAAGAGACCTCGAATAGCTAAAGCAATCTTGAACAACAAAAACAAAGCTGGAGGCATCACAATACCAGATTTCAGGACATACTACAGGGCAGTTGTAATCAAAACAGCATGATACTGGTACAGAAACAGATGGATAGACCAATGGAATAGAATTGAAACACCAGAAATCAATCCAAACAGCTACAGCCAACTCATATTTGATCAAGGATCCAAAACCAATCCCTGGAGTAAGGAGAGTCTGTTCAATAAATGGTGCTGGGAACATTGGATTTCCACATGCAGAAGCATGAAGCAAGACCCCTACCTTTCACCTTACACAAAAATCCACTCAACATGGATTAAAGACCTAAATCTACGACCTGACACCATCAAATTATTAGAGATCCTTGGAAAAACCCTGCAAGATATAGGTACCGGCAATGACTTCTTGGAAAACACCCCAGAAGCACAGGCAGTCAAAGCCAAAATCAACTATTGGGATTGCATCAAATTGAGAAGTTTCTGTACTGCAAAAGAAACAGTCAGGAAAGTGAAGAGACAACCGACAGAATGGGAAAATATATTTGCAAACTATGCAACTGATAAAGGGTTGATAACCAGAATCTGCAAAGAAATCAAGAAACTCCACAACATCAAAACAAACAACCCACTTAAGAGATGGGCCAAGGACCTCAATAGACATTTTGCAAAAGAGGAAATCCAAATGGCCAACAGACACATGAAAAAATGTTCAAGATCACTAGCAATCAGGGAAATGCAAATCAAAACCACAATGAGGTTTCACCTCACCCCAGTTAGAATGGCTCACATTCAGAAATCTACCAACAACAGATGCTGGAGAGGATGTGGGGAAAAAGGAACACTAACCCACTGTTGGTGGGAATGCAAACTGGTTAAGCCACTATGGAAGTCAGTCTGGAGATTCCGCAGAAACCTGAATATAACCCTACCATTCAACCCAGCCATCCCACTCCTTGGAATTTACCCAAAGGAAATGAAATTGGCAAACAAACAAGCTGTCTGCACATTAATGTTTATTGCAGCTCAATTCACAATAGCTAAGACCTGGAACCAACCCAAATGCCCATCAACAGTAGACTGGATAAAGAAATTATGGGACATGTACTCTATCGAATACTATACAGCAGTCAAAAACAACGAAATCTGGTCATTTGCAACAAGATGGAGGAATTTGGAAAACATTATGCTGAGTGAATTAAGCCAGTCTCAAAGGGACAGATACCATATGTTCTCCCTGATCAGCGACAACTAACTGAGCACCAAAGGGGAAACTTGTTGAAATGAAATGGACACTATGAGAAACAGTGACTTGATCAGCTCTTGTCCTGACGGTTGATGTACAATGTAATACTTTATCCATTTTAGTATTTTTTTTTCTAGTACCGTTGGTTGAACTCTGTAATTAACACACAATTATTCTTAGGTGTTTAAATTTTAACTGAAAAGTGATCCCTGTTAGGAATTTGGAAAACATTATGTTGAGTGAAATAAGCCAATCCCAAAGGGACAAATACTACTTGTTCTCCTTGATAGGTGACAACTAACTGAGCACCAAAAAGGAAACCTGTTAAAGTGAAATGAACACTATGAGAAACGGTGACTTGATCAGCCCTCACCCTGCCTGTTGATGAGCAACTTGATATGTTATCCCTCTTAGTATTTTTTTTGTTTGTTCTACTTAATACTTTTGGTTGAATACTGTAATCAATACACAATTCTTCTTAAGTTTACAGCCCTCTTTAGCCTTCTTACTTTTCTTTTCCTACCACTTCTCCTCCACTCTTGCAATCCGATTTTCTTAAAAGCATTGTTTTGCCCATATGGGATTGGCACGCACTGTTCCTCATTCCCTTCTGTAAGGTGGGTGGAGGTTTGCAGATTCTGTTCCCACTCACTGCGCTGGTCTTCCACTCTTCTTTTCCTGGACTATTCTTATGCTGCCCACAGAACCAAGGTCATTTTTTGCCTTGAAGTTGTAGTCTTCAGTTTCACAGTCATTTCCTTCTTTGGTTCTCAGTGGACACTGTATTCATTTTTATAGTCGCATAAGTTGTGATTTTATGTTTATCCTTAACTAGGTGGTATTTTCCTTTAAATGTTGCATGATTTGTAATTGCAGAAACTAATCCTTGTTGAATAAATGAATATATATTCCTCTCGTAACTTTTTATTTGACATCCGTATACTCTAAAAATCTAGGAGTCATTTGAAAATGCATCATGTTTTGGTTTTTAATAAAAGGTTGGTTAATCTGATGGTATTTGATGCCTAAGGCCAAAGAATGCTAGGTACTGTGCCATGTGTCAGGGTGACACCACGTGTCACTGATGTACAGTGATGACGGTTTCTTCCAAACGTTGCTAGAAACAACACGGTCTGTGAGTATGGGACTCCTGCCCGAGGGGCAGCATCAGTGGGCAGCCATTTTCAATGCTGGGAGAGAGCTAGAAAGGGATTTCCCAGAGAAATGGGTTCTGCTTTTGATACCAGATTATTTATTAAATGACCTCAGTGGGCTCTTTCTTCTCCTAAAATGTAAATTATACAGTTTGATCAAACACTGGAAAAGAGTGTTCTGTAGATCTCTAAAATAATCAGTTACTGGGGCTGATGTGGCATAGTGGGTAAAGCCACTGCCTGCAATGCTGGCCTCCAATGTGGTAACCAGTTGGTGTCCCAGCTTCTCCACCTCCAATCCAGGTCCCTGTTAATGGCCTGGAAAAAGCAGCAGACAATGGCCCAAGTTCTTGGGGTCTTGCTACCCCTGTGGGAGTCCTGGAAGAAGCTCATGGCTCCAGCTTTGGGCTGGCCCAGCCATAGCTGTTGTAGCCATCTGGGGAGTGAAGCAGCGGGTGGAAGAACTCTTTGTGTCTCCTCTCCCTCTGTAACTCTGACTTTCAAATAAATAAATTAATCTTTAAAAATAAATTAATATAATCATTTACTTATTTAAAATCTTAACCTCTGGACAGTTGTGTGAAGAGGTGGTCAATATATTTTTTAACATCCTCAAAATAGTGGAACATCCCCAAGAAGTGTTTTCTAATTAAAATAGTTTTGTTTCCTTCTGAAATATAATTAATTTACTTTTGCTGTGATAAAATTGAGTTGAATCAATGTCAGATTATCCTAAGGAGCCAAAGCAAAACTAAAAAAAAGAAAAAGTGTTTCATGGATTGC